GACGGTGGAGAAGGTGGTCACGGACAATTTGGGGGTGGTCATGGTGGAGGACACGGAGATGGTCAAAGAGGTGGTCCAGGGGGATTTGGCGGTAATCAAGGGGGACATGGTGGTAGTTCCGGAGGTGGACATGGTGGTGGTTTTGGAGGTGGTGTTGGTGGTGGCCATGGGGATCATGGGTATTAATTCATAGCTTACAAAAAAAATTTGGTGTAAAATTAGAAAAATAAATTTATAATTCCTCATGTGTGTATATTTTTATCCTCGTACACATATTTCTTTCTTTTTAAATGGGTACCGATTCCGCAAGCAGACACAAAACCTAATAATAATTTGCTTATGTGCACAATACATGGATAAAATGACATCCAGCGGGAACAAGTTTCACCTCAAATCAGTGCATAGACACGAAATGTGGCATTGGAAAAAAGTTATTCTTCAGTCTTGAAATGCAAATTTTATTTCGAACCATAACGATTTCTTGACTTTTTCCAGAGCTTTTACAATTGTATGAAATAGAAAAACGATTTCAAAATGAAAAAAAGCATCCCCCTCATCCAAATTCCTTCCTTTTGTGATGTAAATGTTAAAATAAAAAAACTAAATCAGTAAATTCATCAAAATACCTAAAGAAATAATTGAGAAAGTAAAAGGATATGTGAGAAGCCGTATTGGGGTACATCAGGAACACCATTTTTAACACATTTCATAAAATCAATTAAATAAAAATGTACCTAATATACCCTAATACCTAATATATGTACCCACTGATTTAAGCTGAGATTCAAATTTTTCGCATTATATGTCACTTTATTCATACCGGGTGTCCCAGAATATGTGGGCAATCTCTCGAAGTTATACAGGGGACGATAAAATAACGAGTACCTATAAAAATTTTCCCTATAGGGCCCTCCTACAGGACCCTAAAGGACGCCCTTCAAAATCGATTTTTTTTTTAATAACTCTTTTAATAATACTTTATGTAATTTAATTATTTTTTTTTAAGGTGACTATATCCCTGGCCAAGAAATAGTCTGGCGTTTTTAGGTACTGAAATCTTAAAAAATAAAACGTGTAGAACAAAACTAAGCACTAAAATAAAATCCTTGATGTTCTGTTTATTCATTGTTACTATTTAAATTTACTCAAATAAAATAATAACTAAAAAAAGCATTTGTAAAACATGCGTTTGATGTTATCCTAATCCCACATTTTAAGCATTTTATTTTCACGTACTTATAAATAAAAGTAAACAATTTTATATGTAGGACTAAGCAAGTAAATGTTATAAGAATATTTACATGTGGAATTATATATAAAAAAGTTAGTATTTTCGTAGATTTCAGTACCTAAAACCTTGATGGTTTGATCGTTTTTTGCACCTGTTTATTCGTTTTACTGCGGCGTCTTTGAAAAATACTCAAATGGCATGACATAACATTCCTATTATTTGATAAGCTTTAGATTATTCACTTATTAAATGTTTGAAATTATTTGTCTTTGTAGAAAACACTATTTAAAGAATACGGCGCCCTTAATACGATGAACAACAAATAAGACTCCTTAAAAATTGACCCATAAAAAAATTTGGTTTATTTGGTTTGCCGGACTGTAGCACAATAATGTTAATTTCTTTTACACCCTTTACGATAAAGGCACAAAAATAAAATTGAACTGAATTCCAGAAAAAACTATTTTTGTTTAATATAATTTTTATAACATCCGTAAAGAGAAATAATTGCATTCTGTCTGTGTTTATTTAATAAAATAAAATTTTTATTTACATTTGTTTTTTTCCTAAAAATAATTAATAATTACGCAAAGTATTTTGAATGTTACTAAAAAATTCGATTTTCAGAGGCGTCCTTTAGGGGCATGTATAGGATGTCATGTTATTTTGACGTCCCCTGTATAAATCTGAAAGACTACCCACATATTCTGGGATACCATGAATATTGCGCATGCTCACAAAATTCCATTTCAATATCTTCATTAGCTTAGAAGATATTTAGAGAAAAAGGAATACACCGACATCTAAGAAAAAACGAAAAGATTAATACATTCTGAATAATATACACTTAAATTTTTTGAGTTTCTGATTACTACAATGTGGTTTCAAATATTTAATGAAATACCAGATATACAGTGCAGTTCATAATGAATGGAACAAATTTGTTTAAAATTCAGGTAATTACTTTGTGGAAAAACGGTCAGACACGTCGATTACTATTTTTAGTTTGCGGATTTTTGACATGAGAGAATTATATACAGGATGTCTCAAAAGGAACATATACAATCATCATTGATTTTTTTAATGGAGCACCCTGTATATTATGCTATTTTTGATTTGTACTGCAAATTCTAAACACTTTTTGTAATAGACCATATCCCTAAAATCAACGGTTTTCGTAATAATGACATTTGAAATGTGATAAATGGAAAAAAAAATTTTTAATTTGAAAAACACTTGATAGGTATTTATTTTCTCGAAGTGTTTGTGACACAGATCCCGATGACAAATGACAATTCCTGGAGATTGTTCTAACGCCTACACGGGAATTATTTACAGTTTCTAGTAAAACGTCTAGTTTAGAATCTTCTGATATTTTTGCTGGTCTTCCATTAGGTAAATCTCAACGTGACCGTGCTTAGCAAATTTTAATTCAATTTTGCTGACAGTAGATCTAGTAATTGGAGGTCGATCAGGATGAATTACAATAAATAAATTACACACTTCTTGTTGAGTACGCACTCTGTCTCCAAAACCAATCATCATTAAGTACTTCAATACGTTTTGTCTCAGATAAATGCATTTTTAAAATGAAACGTAAAATTGACAAAATGACACTAACAAACTAAACGCCGGTGATAGTTGGGTTTTTATTATCACAAAATACTACATCAAAATGCTCTAGGGGCCAGGGAATGAAAAAAGATTAATACGAAGAAAATTGTTTTGTTTAATATAAAATTTGGCATGCCAGGTTGTTTCTGTTGGCTTTTAAAAAAATGTTCAAGGTTGTTCAAATTAAACATTTTATTTAATTATTTCTGTGTATTTCAAAATATTAATTTTCAAACGGCATTATTACGAAAACCGCTGAGTTTAGAGATATGGTATGTTACACAAAAAGTGTTCAGAATTCACCGTACAATTCAAAAATGGCATAATATACAGGGTGTTCCATTAAAAAATCAAAGATGACTGTATACAGGGTGGATGTACAGGGGACCCTTACAAATACAATTTTGTAAAGAAAAAATCAAAAAGGTCAGTTCGAAATTGATTTAAAAATACACTTCTGCACGGCACTGGAAACTGGTCCAGTGTAAAACCTGATCTAGCACAATGCGACCGTCATGGCGGTGTGATAAAAACGGACAAAAACAAATATTTAAATAGAATTTTATCGCACCTATCGGAAAATTCAACTGCTTTTGCCGTTATTAATTAATAAAATTAATTTGTGTTTTTAAATAGTAAAATCATTTGACATACCCAATGCTGCAACAGCAATTGTTCAAAATTTTATCCACTCACGTGTAAACACATTTGGGTCCGTCTTACTCACTTTCTACGAACTAACACAAATAATATCTTGCTTCACCATAACACAAATACTTCACCATAATACAAATGTTGTCTTGCTTCACCATAAATTAAAACGATATCCATTAACTCTGAGTTGCTATACACGCAAGCCATTTTTGACACTAACTACTAAAAAACTGATGTAAATAACACAGATAACAGATAAAAACTACCGCAACTACGGATTTCAGTATTAGGAGTCACATGGCTTTCCAAGCGTATTGCGAATGACGCTAGAGACTACAGTTGTCCAGCTATGTAGTGGTTTAATGTGCTATAATTTTTTTTCTCAGAAACTATAAGGATTTTACAAAAATTTTTTTTACAATATTGACTCCACTCATGCCGCATCTATTCCCAAATTTTTTTGGATAAGTTGTGAATCACCCTGTATGTTCTTCTTACGACACCCTATATAGACAATTTTCTAATGTCAAAAACTCCGGAACTAAAAATACTAATCGATGTGTCCGAGCGTTTCTCCACAAAATAATTACCTGAATTTTAAACGAATTTGTTCCTTTCATCATGAACGCACTGCATGTATAGTTTTCTTTATTATTTAATTTTTTTAAATTTTACTGTATTTTAACTTGCACAAAAAAGTATGTTATACAGTACTTAAATAATAAACAACCACACATTGTTAATCATAAAAACCTAACACTCCCTGAAACCCTGTATACAAAGGGAACCTCTTAAAGGAAGAAAAAAAGGTAAATTTTTATTTTGAAATTAAAAATTTATATTTGACAGTGCAAAATGCTTCATCACGTGTTTCATTTACAAAGGTTTTTCATCCTATACACTAAGATAAGTTTTATTTAAAAAAAATGTAGATTATAACTGAGAAATTGATGCTCTATTTGAGAGAGCAAGATAATTTTCACATAACTCAAATGTTTTGACTTTTAAAAAAATGTTTAACTAAATCCATTATAATTTACTTAATACCTTGAGATGAACTTTGTGTGAGATTCAGTAACTTTTTCAATTGAAATCTTTAGTGTAAAATCACAAACTAAAAAAGTGATACTCAAAACTCCGTTTTACAGTTAATCATTTTGTGAAGATTATTAAAAAATATTAATTAGAGCTTAAACACGAAAAAAATTGTCAAAAATTAAAAAAACAGTGATATCTCAAGTACATACATTTTATTAAACAGGACATTATATGGGATAAACTAAAAACTGAATTTTATAACATGCACCCAAACTAAACAACAAGCATGGAAATTTTAGAAATATAAGATAACTAAAGAGTATGTTTACGATATTTTAATGTACAATGAACTTGTAAATTTTAAAAGTAAGCAGTACGTCATATAAATATTTATGTTATGATCGCCTCTATCTCATACATTTGATTTTTGTTTAACGTTTCTTCCGAGAAGTTTGAAAAATCCCCTGATTATAAACTGTATGTTCATAACATATATAAAATAAACCACTGAGAGTCTGAACATAATTTTTTAATAGCTGCGAGGTGATACAACTCAACGCAATGAAATTTGTGGTAAGTGGTTATTTTATTAATAGTCAGTAAGTTTTAGTTGGTCGTTAAGTAAGCAATACTTTTAATATATGTTTATGAATAATACTACTTATATTAAGCTAATGTTGTTTAAATTTGCTCTGTAAGTGTATTATAGAACAACTGTAAATTTTTTAAAAAGTAGTACATTTTCCAAATTATATAATTTTATCAGTAATAAACTCGTTTATAAATAATTAAGTACTGTTACTGTTCATCTATAGGTACGAAAATGTCACAATTTTATGTAAATACTTACTGTATTTTAAGAGTTCCAAATTAAAATGTAATTTTTGGGTGATATTTAACTTTTTACTCTACAGAGTGTACGAAAGAGTTTTCCGTGACCTTGGTGTTTTATTTGACGAAAAACTGTCTTTCAGTGATCAATGATCATATTGATGCTAACAGAACATACGGTGTTATTGTCCGTAATTGTCGTGACTTTACAGATATCAACACACTTAAACTTCTTTATTTCAGTTTCGTTAGATCTAAACTCGAATACGCATTTCTTGTGTGATCCCCCCACTGCGCTGTTCGCATTAATAAATTAGAATCAGTTCAGCGTAGATTTTAAGAATTTGTGCTTTAAATCTGATGGTTTATATCCTCCCACTGGACATCCACACGAATCTCATTCTGTTGCTTCTCTTGAAACTAAACGTAAATATTACTCTAATAATGAAGTATTGTCGGGAGGTTGAACAACTTTAGCGTTTTCCCCGTCTCGATTAAATACAAAAACATATTCCCCAACTCATTATTAAAAGTTAGTGTCTACTGAGATATGTAATGTAAGATGGAACTTAAATAATAAAAAAAAAAGTTGAAAATACCAGAGACTAGACCCACCTATCCTTATGTATTTTGACACGCTGAAACCGAATCCGGAGTCAAAATTGTTTCATCGCCCTCCAGTTTTTTTAAATCGCGAAAAACTACCCCAAAAACACGGAAAATCTTCAAATTCTCGCTTGAGCACGGGTCCGAAGGTTAAGACGCAGGTTAACGTGAGAATTCGCGCAATAAGACTATTTTATATGTATTTTGACGAGCTAAAACCGAATCCGGAGCCAAAATTGCTCTATCACCCTCCAGTTTTTTTTTAAATCGCGAAAATCATCCCAAAAATACGGAAAATCGCGTGTTATTGTCTCGGATCTTAACATTCTTTCTTTTTTTATCGTATTCTTTTATCTTCAAAAGAACTGTGTAGTGGACACCTTTTTCTTTTTCTGCTATCTGGCTCGGATTCCCTTTTAAGCATCCAACAAAAATCTGCCATCATATTAACATCCCATCGTCCTTGGTACCGGCGTTCCATTTCCTTAAAAATTTGAATTTTCTAAACAGCGATTATATCTGAGGATTCGGTTTTAGCTTGACAAAATACATATAAAATGGTCTTATTGTGCTGGTTCTCACGTTTATCTCACCCTTCGGACCCGTGCTCAAGCGAGAATTTGAAGATTTTCCGTGTTTTTGGGGTAGTTTTTCGAGATTTAAAAAAANTTCTTTTAATTCGCCTAACAAATATTCTAAAATCATAAATGGTTATATTAAATCTAATTTGTTAATTATAGACAAATCTGTTGCAAACTGTTTCTTTTTTTAATTCAAACAAATCAAATGACTTGTATTGAATGTAACTGGTTTATCTCAATGTAACTAGCATAAATGTAAACAAACTGCATTCAAAACAACCGATTCCTTTAATAGAAAGTAATTGTTTTTTCAGTGTAGAGCGTCCAGAAAGTTTGTGACCCTATGTGATCAATGAGAAATGAAAATTGCATCGGTGCATAAGAAAAATGCATTTTTAAAATTGCATCTTCAAGAGTTAAAATATGAAAAATTTACAACTCGGAAAATATTGACGGAAATGAGTTCAATTTTACTACTCGGGGATTCTTGGGATCGCTGAACACGAATATTATGATGGCAACGGTCTCCGAGATACCTAGTGCCCCAGGGTGGCCGGTTTCAACGTCGTCTCCTGGAGTTTTGTGGAAATTCCTAATAAACTTAGCCGAAACTCGTTACCTCGGGGTTTTTGGGGTCGCTCAACACGAATATTACGACGGCAACGGTCTCCGAGGTAGGTACCTAGTGTCCCAGGGTGGCCGGTTTCAACGTTGTCTCTTGGAGTTTTCTGGAAATTCGTTATAAAATTAGCCGAAACTCGTTACCTCGGGGTTGATCAACACGAACATCACAACGGTAACGGTCCTTGAGGTACCTAGTATCCAGAATGGCTGGTTTCTGTGACAATTATTTCATTCTTAATTATTTTTTATTATAAAAATACATTTATTCATTACAAAAAATACGTCTTCTAAAAAATATTATACTTAAATATCTTAACAATTTTAATTTTTCTTATTTAATTTTCATTATTATCTTCTTCATCTTCTCTATCTATTGTTTCCACTTCCGAAGAAAATATATCATTTGCAGAATATTTTTCATTATTCGTGCAATTAATGCCTGCACAATTTTTGCACGCGATGCTGCAGTTCAATCCGTGCTTCCTACATCCACACGAAGTTCCGCTATCGGTTTTGCACCCACAGAAAATCATATTCATGATCCTCGGTGGACCGTTGCTGTCGCGATATTCGTGTTGAGCGACCTCAAAAACCCCGAAGTAACGAGTTTTGGTTAAATTTATAACGAATTTCCACAAAACTCCAGGAGACGACATTGAAACCGGCCACCCTGGAGCACTAGGTACCTCGGAGACCGTTGTCGTCGTGATATTCGTGTTGAGCGACATCAAAAACCCCAAGGTAACGAATTTCGGCTAAGTTTATAAAGAATTTCCACAAAACTCCAGGAGACGTCGTGAAAACCAGCCATCCTGGGCACTAGGTACCTCGGAGACCGTTGCCGTCGTGATATTCGTGTTCAGCGACCCGAAAAACCCCCGAGTAGCAAAATTGAACTCATTTCCGTCAATATTTTCCGAGTTATATATTTTTCATATTTTAACTCTTCAAGATGCAATTTTAAAAACGCATTTTTCTTATGTACCGATACAATTTTCATTTCTCATTGATCACATAAGGTCACAAACTTTCTGGACGCTCTAACGAATCGAATGCAAAAAACCGCATCACGATCCATCTTACTGCACAGATTTCAGAGGTTCGGTGCTTTATTTCCTCGACTAATAGGTGGGTCTAAGGTCTCTGGTATTTTCAACTTTTTTTTTTGTGGATCTGTGTAATCATTTTCATACGTATAGTTGCCATCATGATATTTTTGTCAATTTTGGTGTCTAAAATATATGTCTTTTGCTTTCAGCTGTTCTTTCTGTTAATCGTGTTGATTGCTCAGAGCGCTCTAGGTGTGCCATCTAGGGACGCTGGACCACATGGTGCCAACAGAGGTGGGAATCGTGGAGGCAATCAAGGAAATTCTGGAAGTAATAGGGGTGGAGGTGGTTCAAGCGGTGGGCCTGGCAATGGACAAGGAGGAACTCGACTTGCTTAATCATTTTTTATTTTAATATATCCGCATAATTTTTATACTTGTGTTTAATTTTTCTTTTCCTTCACTACGACATGACATATAAAAAGATAACCGGAATCTTGTGATATCATCGGGGGTAATAAACATGAAAACATATAGTTAATAAAAAAAGTAATATAAGACGGAGATCCAATAGAAAAGGCACAACAAAAGTGTGCATAGAAAGTGGCTAATATTTTAGATATAACTTTGTTTTCACAATTTTTCCTTAATAACAAGATTTTAAATTTTATATGCAAAAGTTTTCCCAGATCGAAAAAGCAAGCAACTTAATATTGTTTAATACCAAAATGTCTACTTAAAGAAGATTTTTTTGTTTAATTCTTAACGATAACAACAAGGGAATAATTTTTGGTAGTAGCCAAACATGGATATCCCCTTTTCATCTATCCCATTTCTCAGAGGATGATTTCTAGGCCCCATAGAGAACTATAATCGCTAAATCAGTTCAGAAGTTGCGAATGAAAAAAAAAAAAAAATGGGGATTACCGACCCTGAGATCTCAAAAAGGGTTGCACATATATTTGTAAAATATTTCTTTTGTAGTTAACTGACAAATATAAATATCTGTTTTTTCTCAAAATTTAAATTTCTTATGAAGTTTTAAAATAGAGTGTTAGTATTAAATTTAAAATTTAAATAAAAAACGCTTGTTTGTATGTATCAGTTGAGTATGAAAGCCATTTTTTACACCAATATACAGGGTGTTCCAGCTAAGAGGGACTCTGCCGTAACTTTGTAACTGTAAAATTTATAAAAAATGGTTTTAATAAAAGTTGTCTGGAATCATGTGGGCCATATAAAGAAATTATTTTTAACTTTACAGGGTGTTCCATTTCGCGTGGGCGCTACATAACTTTGATATTTTAAATGGAACATCAACATTTTCTGAGATATGTCCCTGTGAATTCAACTTTACGGTACTACATTCAAAGGGACATCTTAGTAGAAATTTATTTTTTTTTTTAGGGGTAAGCAGGTCTAAATTGTAAAAAATATCGACTGTAACTTATAATGTCAGTATAAAATTAAATTGAATTTTTCGGAGAAATTATGTATGATGGCCATATGCAACAAGTATATCATTTGTACAGTAAATAAAGTTACGTGTCAAAGAACACCTGTAATTTTTCAAAATCTTACCATTAAAAAATACAAAAAACCCTTTAAGTCATTATTAACAACCTCTATGTTTGGGTAGCCCAAAAACTAACTTCTGCTTTATTAGCATTTGTTAAATAGTAACATAGTTAATGTGAAAAAAAAAAAAAACAAAATGGCGATTAGGAATTATATTATTCGGCAATTGAATTTGTTGTTAGGTTGTTATCAATAAAAACAAAAAAAATACATTTATGTTATATTTAACTTCCCATTACTACTATAAATATAAATAGATATCTAAGACTAAAGCACACATCTTAAAATAGAGTACTTACTTGCTATTGCAAATGTAATGTTAATTAAGCTAATATTAAACTGGGTACGTATATTCTAATACAAAATCAAAATTTCTTATGTAGTAGATAGCAAGTTACTTTTTGCTCATAGAAAATTAAAAAATTATATCTTTATTGTCTGGTACATTCATACCGTCAAGAAATGTTTCATTTCCCTGTTTTAAATCTGTCTTTTTTTCTTCTCCTTTATTTTCAAATCCTTCTTTATTTTCTTCTGCAGTCTTTTCTTCTTTGATTTCAGTTCTGTTAACATTATTCTCTATATACTGTTCATCATGCCTTTCTTTTTCTTTATACTTTCTTTGTTCATCTTCTTCTTTCTTTCCTTTTCCTTCCTCTTCTATTTCTCTCCATTCCATATCCTTCGTTTCCGCTGAACTTTCCCCCAATTCTTCTTCTTTTTCATCATCGCTTTCTTCATCCTTTTCTTCGCCCCCTTCTTCATCATTACTATTTACTCCTTTCCATTCCTCTTCTTTTGCATCATCACTTTCTTCTTCCTTTTCTTCGCTGCCTTCTTCATCATCACTATGAACTTTTTTCCGTTCCTCGTTTTCATCATCATCATCATCTTCTTTTTTCTCTTCGCTCTCTCCTTTATCATTATCATTTCCTATTCTCCATTTATCATCATCCTCCTTTTTCCGTTTTTCTTCTTCATCATGATCATATATCCTAGATTCCTGTTCGTCAGATTCAAGCACTTCGTACTTTTTATTTGTTTCACTATTCCTTTCGTCTTTGTCTATATCTGAGCTGTCTATCTCCTTAGTTCTTTCACAATTCAGTACCTCTCCTTTTTTTAAATCGGTGAAATAATCTAACGGGTTTAAGGATTTTCCTTCATAGACCCTTATTAGAAGTTTGATAGGTGACAATATTGGGTAAGTATGGGCTGGAGTGATTGAAATTAATATGCATGAGGACGAAAAATATAGAAACTGCAATAAAATACATTATTAATATTGAACCGTAATAACAATACACAGAGTCATTTCATGTTATACTTTTTTTGATGCTTAGTAAAAATAATTGTATTTCAATCTATATCAGAAATTAAATAAACTAATTGACTTCCTTTTAAGATAAAACGTAATACAGTTTTTTCATATAAATATTACAACAGTAGTCTCAAAGGTTTTCTTTTAGGAATTTTGCTACATTACAAATTAAGAAATTTTAAAAAACTTTGAAGTAGGTCTTTATATTATAAGCAGCAATACTACTACTCTCATCACTAAATTGGACGTACATAAAAACCTGTTGTCGATTTCTTACAAAATTCTTCTTCTAATAGGATATACCTAGTAATGATAAAATTTTAGATATGGGGATTTTGAAACATATACAGAGTGACCCAAATTAAGAAATATTTAGAAATATAGTAGTTGATTTTAGAACTCAATAATACACTGTACTGATTTAAAAAAGAAGAAATAAGTACTTAGTTAATTGTTTTCCAATAATTAACAGTATCTTAGTCGTTAGTGACTGAAAATTTTTTAATCGAAATTTGACGTTGTGGTTACCAGCACCTGACTGGTTAAAAATAAAACATATCTTATTTTTATAAAATAAAATAAGTAGGTATCTACTGGACGTGGACAAAAAAAATATATTTATATTTGTTATAAGTAAAGCGCATTTTTCGTATATCAAAAAATTTCATTAAGGAAATTGCTCATAATTAAAATTTATTCCCATGTTCCTAATTTGAAAGCAATTAAAATTTTTCCATTCTACGATCGGAAAAAAATTATAATACAGTACATATAATTTGTTGATATGTGTGTTAATGTCCTAAATTTATTGCCAATTTCTTCTATTTTTACTATTCAATAAATTCAATAAGTTATCAGAATTATAATATCAAAGGCCTTATTTAGTATAAGTTTGAACATTTTATTGCACAGAAACAAATTTAAATGAAACTTCCTTCAAACATCCCTAAAGTTTTAGGAAAATATACCATACTCCTGGCAAAAGCTTCAACTTTTATTTGAAAAATTTTTTATATTACGAATTATATTTACAGGACAGTAAAATTATAATACAGTACATATTATTTGTTGATATGTGTGTGTCCCAAATTTATTGCCAATCTCTTCTATTTTAACAATTCAATAAATTCAATAAGTTATCAGAATTAAAAATATCAAAGGCCTTATTTAGTATACCTAAGTTTAAACATATTATTGTACAGAAACAAATTTAAAAAAATGAAACTTCCTTCAAACATCCCTAATGTTTTAGGAATGTGTACCATACTTTACTCCTGACAAATATTCCAACTTTTATTTGAAAAATTTTTTATATTACGAATTATATTTACAATGAAACATTTGGTCAAACATGAGATTATTTGAAAAATCAAACATTTACGAACATAGCTAAAGAAAACGAAAGTCCGCAATTATTTTATAAAAGAAGAAAATAACAAAAAAGGTGTATTTCTAACTTTAAATTTTAATAAATAGTAATAATTTGACTAATAGATTTAAAATTATATGACACTTCATCTATATTAGAGTAGGCAAATAAACAAACTGTGAAAACTACTTTAATGATGAGCAAGTACCTTTTTGAAAATTTTTTATATAAATAATAAGTTTGTTATAGCAATGCTTCTGATGTAGGGGTTGATTTGCTTTTAATTTTTTAGTTTGTAGTGCTTGACACAATACTCTACAGGAGAAAAAATTATTTAAGATGGTGAACTAAATAGTAGATGTTTTTATATAAATTAATTTATGACTTCAAAGAGAGATTAATTTCCTGAAAATAATTTTCACGTTAAGTACGTTATCAGTTAAGATTACTTTGAAAATATAATTTTAAAGAAACTTACCAAAATTCGGTACATCTTTTCTTTTATTTGTTTGCTTCGTATACAATGTGAATATATAGATATTACTAGAAATTGGTACGTATATATACACCTTTTTTTAACCATTACAACTGCATTGTGGAACTATATGTTAATTCAAATTCATATTCTAATAAAGCGCTGATTAGTTTCAGAAGATAAATCACTCTGTGAGCCAGAGAATAATGCATTTTAATAATTGACACACTATTCTATTCTTCAATGGTGTATGTTTTCTTAATAAAGAACATTTTTTTGATGTGAACAATTAAAATGAATTTTTTTCAATGAATGGAAAAACAACTTTAAATTTGAATACAGTATCTTATACAGTACCTTCATTAATACCCGAATCCTACGTGACCGCACCTATTAAGTAACCAAACTTACAATGTAATCCAATTAAATGGACCTTTAAATCTCAACAACAATAAGTGATAGTAATTTATTTTTCAACCCCCGGCCAGGGATGAAAATAGATAAAATAGAGGGTTTCTTCAAGATAACTCAAAAGGGGTAAGAACTAGATAAAAAAGTTTCTTATTCAAGGTGTAGAGCATAATTCTATATAAAAATGGTCAATTGACTTTTTCTAGTACTATTAAAATTAACAGAGTTAGGGAGACTGGAAGTTAAGGGATGATTTCAGAAATTTAAATAATCCTAACAA